AAGGAAGGAAGGAAGGAAGGAAGGAAGGAAGGAAGGAAGGAAGGAAGGAAGGAAGGAAGGGAGAGATGGGAAGGAGAAGGGAGGAGATGGGAAGGAAGGAAGGAGAGATGGGAAGGAGATGGGAAGGAAGGAAGGAAGAGAGAGAGAAAGAAAGAAAAAAGAAAAAGAAAGAAAGAAAGAAAGAAAAAGGAAGGAAGGAAGGAAGGAAGGAAGGAAGGAAGGAAGGAAGGAAGGAAGGAATCCTAGCTAATCCATATTTTTGCCTCTTGGGCAAACTCAGAGCCAACATCCGCAATGATCCTTAAGGACATCACAGGACATTCCATGAACTCCCCATTTGTATGTGAGACCCTCAGTCCGAAAAAGTTTCAACCAGTTCCTACAAATGATTGTCAGATGTCACAAAACCTATTTGATTTCCTCCTTCATCTGTGGTCATCCCTAGTGGGTTTCCCTCTCTCTATATATATATATCTACACACACACACACGAGACACCCCCTGAGCTATATATATGTATACAGAGAGAGGAACATTGGTGTCATATATATATTTATATATATTTATATTTATATATTTATATATATATATACACATGGCATCGATGTTCCTCTACTTTCAAACCTCCACTGCCCCCCCCCCCCCGGCGATCTTCGGCTGTCAACTGCAGAGATAAATCAGGATTTATTTTACACCATCAACCATCGTTTCATATTTATTTTTTAAATGCACTGGGAATCTTCAAAATTTCCAGGTAAGCATTATTTTAAAGCCAACCTGGAAAACTGGAAATCGGTCGTCCAGTTTCCCCAACCGTAAGTTCCAGATTGCTGTTTTCTTATTCATTTAAAAATAAAATAAAATAATAATAATAACGTGGAGAATTGGAGAGAGAGGGAAAAATAAGTCAAGGAAAAGCAGAAATAACTGCTTGTTGTTTCCCGTTTTGAAGCAATCCAGCCAGCTGCCAAATAAAAGAATTCCAGTTATGTTTTTTTGTTCTGAGGAGGATAAATGGCGTCTTTGTGTAACTTGCCAGCCTTGTGTAAATATTTTCTAGGTCAGTTGAATCCATAAAACCCAGTTTCCTGGGATTATATTTGGAAAGATAGAAAATGTTCTTTTCCCGTCAAGTCCGCCTTTGGAAGTATTTTGTTATTGGTGGGAATAA